GGACTGGAACTACACCACAGACTTTCCTGGACTTCCAGCTCATAGTTAGCAGATCATGGGAGTTCTCAGTATCCATAATCACGTGAGCCAATTCCTCATAAAAAACTCTCTCTCTCTCTCTCTCTATATATATATAACACACACACATACATGTATCCTATTGTTTGTTTCTCTGGAGAATCCTGACAAATACAGTACGTTTCTCAGGGTAAGAAGATAGAAAATAATTTATTTAGTACGTTGTTTACTAGATTTATAATTTTTAAATTCTATGCATTATAAAGATTTCTATTTATGCGAGCTCCAACCCCACACACAGATTGCATATGTTTGGGAGCTTACTCATCAAAAAGTCACAGGCGGCCGGGCGCGGTGGCTCACGCCTGTAATCCCAACAATTTGGGAGGCCGAGGCGGGCGGATCACAAGGTCAGGAGATCGAGACCACGGTGAAACCCCGTCTCTACTAAAAATACAAAAAATTAGCCGGGCGCGGTTGTGGGCGCCTGTAGTCCCAGCTACTCAGGAGGCTGAGGCAGGAGAATGGCGTGAACCCGGGAGGCAGAGCTTGCAGTGAGCCGAGATCGCGCCACTGCACTCCAGCCTGGGCGACAGAGCGAGACTCCGTCTCAAAAAAAAAAAAAAAAAAAAAAAAGAGTCACAGGCTTTTGCAGGCCATGCTTGCAGTTTCATTGGTAGTAATATTCCCTCAAAATCTTTGTAGGCATTTGACCTACTTTCGTTCAGCTTAGTTCCTGTGTAAGTAATCACAGTCAAAGGTTTTCTCCTGTTTTTTTTTTTTTTTCCTCTCTCAATTTAATTATATCTATCTTGCAATAATTTGAAACAATGGGCTTATGTAGGAAGAAAACACTGTTAATCTGATCTTTGGCACTGAGTTCTCTCCCATTTTCTGAACAATAATAACACATGATGAGAGAGGGAGGCAATACAGACTTGAGACCCCACCTTTGTAAAAAGTGTTTCATCAGCACTACCTCTAATAGCTGGCCTGACTTCAATTCTCTGATAGCGTTTGGCTAAAGGAAGAAAAAAGGAAAAGAAGGCTAGCTCACAACGTGTAACTTTTTCCAACAAGCATGGCTAGATATGGTCTGCCTTTTTAAAGTATTTTGGATGAGAGTTTGTCAAATGTCTTATTCAAGTATAACAGGGATCTCTGGCTTTCAACCCTAAAATGTGTGTGTCTTACCCCTTAGAACCAAATGTTAAGACAATGGCATGTGTTTTCCATACCTGTTAGGACAGTGGTCCAACTCGAAGTGATAAACTCTGTATTAATTGTAGAAAATAAAATCAATTGCAGAAGATCCAAAATACAATGCTTAAGCAAGAGACAAATTTATTTCTCTCTTACATAGCAGTTCAAGATTTTAAGAGCAAATTCCACATTTTCAATGTGGATCTTTCAATTCTAGGTCTAAAGGTGACTGCTCCCCTTCTCATTTCCCAAGTGGTAGAAACAAGGGAAAGGGCAAGAGGAGCAATGATGCATTCGTTTTTTTATAAAATACAGAAATAGCACACATATTTTCTGTTTCCATCCAATGGGACAGAATTTATTCACACGGCAACACCAAGCTGCAAAAGTAGCTGGAAAATGAGTTCCTGTGTAGCCATGCATAGAGCTAAAGCTTGGGCATTCTAATACTTAAGAAGAAGGACTTGATATCGATAGACAATCAGTAGTCTCTACTATAATTACACGGAAGGTCAGAATACGGTAAGTAGAGAGAGAAGGAGTGGGGTAAGAAACTCACTGAGACACAGCATAAAAGATTAGATAGGAACCTTATCCCGAGCTGATTTTAAGTTTGATACCCTGAAGATGTTAGTTAGTTCCTTAGAAAGAGCTCACTCTAGGCTGAGTCCACCTTTTGTCTTTTAAGAGGATACTTCTCAAAACTATATAGAAGCTCATCTGCCAATTCAAGGTTTCAGTTAGTCCTTTTCTCCATTGTTTTGTTATACACATTCACCACAAAGAAAGAGGATTTGCTGTATGTGCACTAGTAGCTCAGAAAAAAAGGATGGGGGAAACCTCACATTCTCTGAAGCAGTTTTACAAGAGAAGCAGCAGCTGAGGTAAATGCAAAAGGAATAAAGGAGGAGGACAGAGGAAGAGAGCCAGGCTTCTGTGAGGACTGATCAGAGAAGTTGTCTCTCTCTGCTACTCGGACTTCACAGGTCTACGCAACTTCAGAGAGAATGGCTTGGAGCCGAGTAAATTAGAAGGACTAGTGTCCAAAATACAAATCCCAGGTTGAACTTGAACTGTTTACTTAACAGCTCAGTTCCTCAGTGTCCGCATCTATAAAATGTGGATAACACTTACCTCGTGAGTTATTTTGAAGATTTCAATGAGAGAGTGTATATAAAATGCTAAGGCATTGTGCCTTATACATAAATTTAAAAAATGTTTTCTAAAAACATGCTCTTATTAAATCATAATACGCAAAGGATGGGAAATACATTGTTATTCAAAGTAATATTCTTCACTGCCTCTAACATTGTTCCTGGAACACAGCAGTTGTTCATTCAATAAAGGAAGGAAAAAGTGAATGAACACCCTGAGATCCATTAAACTAACCAAACTACCCCAGCTTTCACCAGACTCAAATTTCTTAAGTAGCGGCTCAAAAATGAAGAATTTATGTTAGAAATGTGAGCCAAAGCACATAATTTTATCTGAACGAAAAAAGTCAAAACCTCTTATTAATTTACAGTGAAGCCATGACATCAGCCTGGGAAAGCCAAAAAGACCTAGAAATATTCTAGAACGAACACACACACACACACACACACACACACACACACACACACACAATCTTAGCTTCTTATTAGCTAAGGAAAATGGAGCCATCTACAGGTCAAATCTATTTACCATCAAACAAAACTCATTTCTTGAATTAGTCATCGTAGAACAAGGCTTTTTACTTTAACTTCTTATTGTTCTTATGCTTATTTATCATTAATCTTATTCTCCTACTTCCAAATCTGTGACCCTAGTTCGAGAGTATGTCCAGAGTATTAACAGTGGTTACTACTTCCACCACCAGCTGGTGCCACCATCTTTTCTTCCTAGACCAATGCAATAGTTTGACTAGTTGCCTCCTTCTGCCTTTGACCCATTACAGTCTATGTTCAACAACAAAGAATTCTTTCAAATGTAAATCACTTAAATATCTGTCCATTAAATTTAAAAATGAATGAGCCATACACGTTTTAAGTATTGATTGTTAAGTATTAAGATCATAACAAAGACACTGTGCCTTTTTATGAACAAAATGGAAAAGCTTATGGAAAAAAATTAGTAACTACTATATTAAAGGTAAGAGCAAAAGATGAGAAACAATGCAACTAGCTCCCTTAAAAATGAGAGCATTTAAGCTGAATTTTAAAACATAAGTAGAACGACATCTTTGTTTTTTCAGTAAAATAAGAATACTAAAAAAAAATGCAATCACTGTTACTTACTGGGGACTGCCTGCCTATGAGGCACAGTGCTAAGTGCTTAAATGCAGGACCTCACTTAATCCTTATAACCATCAAAATTAGCCAAAATTTTATCCTATTGTGCAGAGGCAGAAACTGAGATGTATAGAGGTTAGATAATTTACTGAGCAATATCTAGTCAGCAGTGGATATGAGAGCTGAGCTCAGCTGGTTATGAGAAACTGACCTCTTAAGGACTAGGCAATACTTCTTCCATGAAAGGTAGAAACAAATCCAGAGACAGAGCTATTGCAACAGCAGGAGGATTCTTAATAATCTATTCACAGGCCTTTCATTGGAATCCTGGAGCTTTAAAGTGGCCATCATTATTTAAGACAGAGATCTGCCAATCCCTGCCTCAACAGATTTCTGACATTGCAAACACACACACATACACACACACACACGTTCACACAAACAGAGATAACAATGCTTCATGAGACTATGAAATTAAGAGGCTATAACAAGAATATGAGCCCCATATGGGCAGGCACTAGGTCTTGGCACCACTGTGTCTCCAGTATACCATGTGTGGGCATATAGTGGATATTGAATAAATGAACAGATGATCTGAGACTCTGACTGCATTTTAAATATCCTGTTGACAATTAGAAGGTAAAAAGTACCATTAGCGGACAGATTGCACAACAGATTGTACATGAGGCCAAACAGTTGATGCTTTTGTTTTCAGCTATATGAATCTTAAACAGGCAATTGAGCAAGGAGTTGCATTTGGCTAAGTCAAGTTACAGTTTGAGTCTGTCTTGCTTAAGTCTAGTTTTATAACTACACCTATTACCAATTCCAGCTAGAGATGCTTTGCTGATAATTATTTAGACAGGGCTTCTTCACCCAGAGAGCCAGCGGGCGTCCACACCAGGAAGCATAGCACAGCGACTTCAGAAGACACTGAGTTCCTAAAGGTTATGGTGAAGGGAACAAACACACACCTGGAAATAGGGACATCACAGGGCTCATGAAGGTGAGAGCACTGGGCCCATGTATTTATCAGGAATCCTTCAGTTTCAAGCAATGGAAATCTTTCTCAAAATGGAGGAAACAATGATTAGCTCCTGTAATTGGTATGTTCAATAAATGGGCATGGCTTCAGGAACCACCAGACCTAGAGACTCAAAAAATGTCTTTAAAACATTGCCTGTCTCTCCAACTCCTGCCTCAGCACTCTGTTCATTTGGCTGCGTTCTCAGGTTCTCATTTAGGGTCAGCAAAATTCCAGCAGCTTCAAACTTACATGCTACCTTCTTAGCAAAACTGATGGACAGTAAAGCCACTTTTCCAATAATTCATAAATCCTTGAATGTCCTCTGATTGGTGCAGCTTGTGTAACTTGTCCATCCCTGAGCCAATCACTGTGGCCAATCAAAATCATGTGTCTCTCTGATTGGTTAGAACTGGGACACGTAACTATGGTTGGAATGAAAGATGGAATTTTCTCTGCCCAAATGATCTAGACCGAGACTGGAAGAGGACTGATTCCCTATATAAAATCTGAGGTTTCTTTTACAATGAGAAATGCTAAAGATAAGTAATAATCGTAAAGGGGATAGGAAAAACGTTAGCTGAAAATATGAGAAAGCATGTTGAATGTGACCTGGCCAGGACTGACCCTCGACTGAATCGGTTTGGGGGTGGAAACTGCGAGTGAAAGGAGGACATTAAATATGTTAGACCACAGAACAGTCACTAAGTGTTGCATCATGGAGTAAGTTTTGCCAAGTGGTAACTGGACGGTTCACTAGTTGAGCTGAGAAAAGACATCATTAATTCACTCACTCATTGTAGGTTATTGAATGAATACATAGATGTATGAAATGAATGAAAGAATAAACAAATGAAGAACTTTCTAAGGTAGGCATTATTTATCCCATTTTACAATTAAATAAAATGAAGCCCAGAGGCTGAATAGTAAAGTTCTCATAATGTCAGCAACCCATTATTTTAGCTTAAGGGCTCAACTTTTGGGTATCCATTCCTATTGTGCTCTAAAAATTAAGTACATTAAAATGAGACTTAGTATTGTGAATAAGTTTTAATCCTAAAATTTAAAACTGTGACAGAGACTTTCAAAATTAAAAGAGCTTAAATCTGAACTCTTTTACTAGCCAAGAGTCCTAAGGTAAGTTATTTAATCCCTTTTTGCCTCCACTTCTTCATTTGCAAAATAGTGATAAAAATACGTCCTTTATTAAAAATGTTAAATAAAATAACCTATGTGAGAAGTGCCTAAATGACGTATTTACAATTAAATTTAAAATTTAACTAAAATTAAAATTTAACTAATTAAATTTATGTTTTTAAAAAATAAAATAGAAACCAAGATCTATTCTTGAAAACAAAATGAAACATCAAAAAAAAAAAAAAATCACACACACAACTTATTCTGTCTTTCCCCCAAGCACAATTCCAAATCACTCCCATGCTGTTACTTAAGTTAATATAATTATGCACAAGGAAAGAAAGAGGCATTTACTAAGCATATAATGCGTAAAAATATGGGCCCAGTTAACTCATTGGATCCTGAAAGCAATTTAGGTTTGGTTTTACACCATCTGCAACCTCTCAGACTTCAGAAGCTTTGAATCAGCACTGCACCACCTTGCCATATATTGGACACAAATATAAAAAGGAAAAGAAAAATCAAGCCATAACTCTGGACTCCATCCAGGAGACTTTCTCTTGAGGTTAAAGTCTTATAAAATGTCTCTCTTCTGCAAAATAATAATCACATCCTTGCCTATGTCAAACCTCTACAGTCTCTTCGATGTTTTTGTGTTCTAATGGAAACTCCTTAACCCCAAGTCATGACCCCTCTAACCCTTGTGATGTTCTCCCTCCCGTGGCCTCGAAAGTATGGCTTCCCTTTCTTCAGTTTAATCAAACGCTTTCATCCCTTCCCCTTTGATTTCTATCACCAATCAGTAGCCATAGATGTGTCTCGTGAGTTCTTACTATCCAGCATATAAAACAGGACAAAGGAAAACTACCATAAAGGGAAATAGTGATAAACTGAACTTTACTAAAGTTAAGATCCAAAGATATCACTGAGTGAGTGAAAACGCTGTGAGAATATATTTACAATAAATAAATCTGACAAAGAACTTGTATTTAAATTTGTTTGTTTAATCTACTTTACATCAAAAATAAAGGACAATACAATTTTTTGTAAGTAGGTGAAAGACTTAAATAGACCGTTCACACAAAAAAAGGATACTTAGCTAAAAATAAGCACATGAAAAGTTGATCAACGCGATGTGGCATTGGAAAACTGCTCATTAAAACCACAGTGATAAAATATTTATATATCCATTAAAATGGCTAAAATTTAAAAAATAACAATTGAATGGATCAGTGTTAGAGAGTATGCAGAGAACTAGAACACTCTTATTTTGCTGGTGGTCCAGCAAATTGGTACAACTACTTCAGAAACTATTAGATACTATCTGCTAAAACTGAATAGATACGTAATCCTATGACCCAGCAATTCCTCTCCTGAGTACATTTCCAACAGAAATGCATATGTGTATAGATTTGTGCAAAAGAAATATTCAAGAATGCTTAAAACAGTATTATGGTGAATAACCAAAAATGAGAAATGATCCAAAAGTCCACAAACAGTGGAAAATAACATTGTGGTAATATATTCACACAATGGGATACAATACTGCAATGAAACGCAGAAACAACTGCTCTATGCAATGGTATAAATGAATTTCAAAAACATGATGTTGAGCAAAAAACACAAATTCTATGATTCCTTTCATGTAAAATTCAGAAAGACAAAACTAGCCTAGGGTAACAGAAGACAGAATATGGTTATCTTTGGCACAGGTGCGAAGGGCTGAAGGAGGCAGGAATGATTTCTGTACTATTGACAATGTTCTCTATTTTTATCTTGATGGGGGTTATACAAATGTGTTCACTCTGTAAAGTTCATTAAGTTTTAAACTTAAGATTTGTTCCCTTTGCCAAATGTAGTTGGTATATCAATTTAAAAATATACAAGGAAGTTCATATCCTTCTTCATATTTCTAATTAGAACTTCTGAATTCCATACAACCAAATCTGTGGCTTTAGAGTAAACTTGGAAATATGACTAGAATGCAACTATCCACACAGAACATTCCCAATCTCCATACCCACAAGGCTACCTTTTTCCATTTTTCAATTGAGCCTTCTCTGAGTGATGGTTTGTGGGTGCCATCATGGACAGAAATGAAAAGCAAGAGGTGAGTTCCTAAAACACTCATAAAACAGGAAACATGCATAGATTACTAAATATTAAACAATGTGCTTTCAGTGCATTAATTAATTTAATCTTCACAATAAACTTTTGAAATACATACCATTATTATCCCTATTTTAGAGGTAAGAAAACTAAGGGCCAGAAATGTTTCATCTCTTGTCTAGGTTTCCACTGCCGACAAGTGGCTAGAGTCAAGATTTAAACCCAAATGTGTCAATTTACCATGTCAACTCCATGGACTACGATACTAAACACTAGCTTACCCTGCCCTCAATAAAACTGAGGATGTGGGAAATATATTCTCTTTCCTCTCTGCCCAAGGAAGAACTTTGTAGTAAGGAAATACGTGGAAAGTCATGCAGACATTTCATTTTCAGAGTTCCTATTCTGGCCAGGAACACTTAGTCCTTTATCTGGGCATGCCCACTCTATGGAAAGCATTTTTCCATCATGGAATGGAAAGAGAGCATGCAGCCTTTAGAGTCTGAGAGATCTCAGAGCTCTTCCTCTTGTGTGCTCTTGGACAAATCCATTGCCCCATCTATCAAATGAAGATAGATCTTTTTCATAAATTTATTCAGTGAATTAAAAAGGAAAATGTCTATTGTCTTAAACCGATGCATTTGGGAAGTCTTATAAACGTAAGTTTAATTATATTTTTTTTAATTTATTTATTATTATTATACTTTAAGTTGTAGGGTACATGTGCATAACGTGCAGGTTTGTTACATATGTATACTTGTGCCATGTTGCTGTGCTGCACCCATCAACTCGTCATTTACATCAGGTATAACTCCCAATGCAATCCCTCCCCCCTTCCCCCTCCCCATGATAGGCCCCAGTGTGTGATGTTCCCCTTCCTGAGTCCGAGTGATCTCATTGTTCAGTTCCCACCTATGAGTGAGAACATGCAGTGTTTGGTTTTCTGTTCTTGTGATAGTTTGCTAAGAATGATGGATTCCAGCTGCATCCAAGTCCCTACAAAGGACTCAAACTCATCCTTTTTTATGGCTGCATAGTATTCCATGGTGTATATGTGCCACATTTTCTTAATCCAATCTGTCACTGATGGACATTTGGGTTGATTCCAAGTCTTTGCTATTGTGAATAGTGCCAAAATAAACATACGTGTGCATGTGTCTTTATAGCAGCATAATTTATAATCCTTTGGGTATATACCCAGTAATGGGATGGCTGGGTCATATGGTACATCTAGTTCTAGATCCTTGAGGAATCGCCATACTGTTTTCCATAATGGTTGAACTAGTTTACAATCCCACCAACAGTGTAAAAGTGTTCCTATTTCTCCACATCCTCTCCAGCACCTGTTGTTTCCTGACTTTTTAATGATTGCCATTGTAACTGGTGTGAGATGGTATCTCATTGTGGTTTTGATTTGCATTTCTCTGATGGCCAGTGATGATGAGCATTTTTTCATGTGTCTGTTGGCTGTATGAATGTCTTCTTTGAGAAATGTCTGTTCATATCCTTTGCCCACTTTTTGATGGGGTTGTTTGTTTTTTTCTTGTAAATTTGTTTGAGTTCTTTGTAGGTTCTGGATATTAGCCCTTTGTCAGATGAGTAGATTGCAAAAATTTTCTCCCATTCTGTAGGCTGCCTGTTCACTCTGATGGTAGTTTCTTTTGCTGTGCAGAAGCTCTTTAGTTTAATGAGATCCCATTTGTCAATTTTGGCTTTTGCTGCCTTTGCTTTTGGTGTTTTAGACATGAAGTCTTTGCCCATGCCTATGTCCTGAATGGTACTACCTAGGTTTTCCTCTAGGATTTTTATGGTATTAGGAAAAAACTGCTTTAAAGTTCATATGGAACCAAAAAAGAGCCCGCATCTCCAAGACAATCCTAAGTCAAAAGAACAAAGCTGGAGGCATCACGCTACCTGACTTCAAACTATACTACAAGGCTACAGTAACCAAAACAGCATGGTACTGGTACCAAAACAGAGATATAGACCAATGGAACAGAACAGAGTCCTCAGAAATAATACCACACATCTACAGCCATCTGATCTTTGACAAACCTGAGAGAAACAAGAAATGGGGAAAGGATTCCCTATTTAATAAATGGTGCTGGGAAAATTGGCTAGCCATAAGTAGAAAGCTGAAACTGGATCCTTTCCTTACTCCTTATACGAAAATTAATTCAAGATGGATTAGAGTTTAATTATATTTTATGTTATGTTATGTTATTTATTTATTTATGAGGTGGACTTTTGCTCTGTCGCCCAGGCTGAAGTGCAATGGCACAATCTTGGCTCACTGTAACCTCTGCTTCCTGGGTTCAGGAAGTAATTTTTCCTGCCTCAACCTCCCAAGTAGCTGGGATTACAGATGCCTGCCACCACACCCAGTTAATTTTTGTATTTTTAGTAGAGAGGGGTTTCACCATGTTGGTCAGGCTGGTCTCAAACTCCTGAACTCAGTGATCCATCTGCCTCGGCCTCCCAATGTGCTGGGATTACAGGTGTGAGCCACTGCACCTGGCCTATTTTATGTTTTAGAGATAGTATCTGATCTCTGTCACCCAGGCTGGAGTGCAATGGCATGATCATAGCTCACTGTAACCTCAAATTCCTGGGCTCGAGCAGTCCTCCAACCTCAGCCTCCCGAGCAGCTAGGACTACAGGTATATGACACCACACCAAGCTAATTTTCTTACTTTTTGTAGAGACTGGGTCTTGCTCTGTTGCCCATGCTGGTCTTGAACTCCTGGCCTCAAGCAATCCTCCCATCTTGGCCTCCCAAAGTGCTGAGATTACACGTGTGAGCCACTGCACTGGGCCATGCTTTTGTTTTTTAACCACAGGGGAGCATAACCTCTGTGGTCTGATATACATTCCTTTGAGATGTCTCTGAATCCTCACAATAGTCCTGGGATGTATTTCAGAGAGGTGATTAACTTAAAGTTAACAGTGTTTAAATTAAAGTTTCCCAAACCCTTATCCACTGCACAAAACTGCTCTAAATTCCTTTTCTCATTCCTCCTTATGTGACCTGGCCTAAACCATTTGGAAGAACACTCAAGTACTTGTTTCCTTTGAAATTTAGAATGCATACTAAATTTAAAAGGAGAAAGCAGCTAAATGTCTGCTTCCTTCCTTCTGGATCTCGTCCTGACCCTTCTCCATAATTCATAGCTAAATAATTATAGTTATTACTTAAGCATCACCTTCTTGGTGACACGTCTAAATATGCAATCATTTTTGGCCAAAACCTTTCTGCTCCTTTTATTACCTTCTTCACAATTTGCCATCATTACCCACTCAATTTTACAAATTGGTAACCTCAGAGTCAACTATGGTTCTTCACTTCCCTTCAGCCCATAAAGTCACTGTTTCAAGATAGATTCTGAGTTTAGCCCACTGTCTCAAAACCTTCCTACTTCAGGTAGTTCTTGTCATCTGGATTTTTAGCCATTTAGTTGCGTGTGGCATCTTTTCACCTAGTCCCTCTGTTTCCTTCCCTCCTCTCTCATCTCCACTACCTTTAAAAGAAACTCCAAACTTCTTAAATGGCCAATGAGGCCTGGCACTCTCTAGACCTACCTTTCTAAGTGCCTCTAGCACACATATCTCTTCACATCCTATACTGCTGCTGCTGTGACATTATCTCCATTCATTTCGTGATTCTTTGTGCAAGCTAGGGTTTTTGTTGTTATTGTTCTCCTCCCAACCCTACCCATCTGACAATCTCCTACACATCCTCCAAAATGCTGTTAAATGTAACTTCCTATGAGAAAGCTTTTTTACCCATTCCCTGCAGCCCAACTGGTTCATTTCTACTGAGTTCCCACAGCACTTAAGATATTAAATTGTGTTATCTATTGCTAACAAAATTAAATCAAATTGCTGATTTCTGATGCTGCCACTTCTCAAGAGTAAAAGTTGCCTCATCTTTTTTCTGTGTATTCCCAGCGCTCAGCACTATACCTGGCATATACAGCTGTTGTGGGGATTAGAAAAGATATTAGAAAGGAAAGAAGACACAAAATGAATGAATGAATGAAGTGTTTACAAACCCAAGTCAAAGTATTGCATTTGAAGGGATAAGCTGCATACAAATGTAAAAGCTGCAAAGGAGAATGAGAATCTGATCTGGAGAAAGAACATTGAACTGAGATTCCATATACCTGGGATATTACTCCATCCATGACACTCACTAGCCACGAGGCTATAAAGGTGTAATTTTACCTGTCAGCACTTTTAGACTTAATGATCTGTGACAACAGCTCTTACTCTAAGATACTATAAACCTTGACAGAAAACAAAAGCTAACCAGTAACCTAAGTCTTTCTCTGTGTATTGAAGGAGTTAATTCAGATACTAAAGAAGTTTTATTATATACATATCTCTTTCCTAACTGAGGCTGGGAGGAACTAGCCCCAGTAATTCTAAGCAACAGTTTTAAAGACATAAGAAAAAAGAATATTGGCTCAGAAACAAAATACAAAGGACACTGGTTGTGAAACAAACCACATGAAGTAAGAGGAAATGCTTTTTTTATGAGAAGATCCAAGCCAACCTCCTCAAGAAGAAAAAAAAAAAAAAACTATCATTATATCCAGACAAATTAAAAGTCCATTCCAATGCAAAGCAGTTTCATTTAAGGCAAGTCAAATAGTGCAAAGGTCTTGCTGAGTTGGACCTAGAAGCTCCACACTTAAAACAGAGAGGCATTTTAACTTCTTGTATGGTTTTACTCTTGCCAGTTACCAATTTTTTGTTAATTGCCTTTGGTTGTCCTTCTTGCCCAATGTTGGAAGATTTTCTTGGAATGGAAGAACAGTGATGCTGGATGTAAGAACGTTGTCTGTGCTGTCCATGTTAGGGAGAGCCAGGAACAATACAAGTCAAATTTCATGTGAATGTAGGAACCACCGTCATGCTGGCTTCACCAAGACCAGAATGTAATCTGGGGAACACACATTTCGCTTGGCAAAATCTCTTGTAACCAAGTAAACTGTTTGTCTCTTTAGTGGCCCAAGTTTGTTAACTCATACTCTATTATCCACTGTTAGCATGACTCAGTTATACCCCACGCCCTTTTTCTGTGTGATTTTCAAATCCTGCAAACCAGTATGTTGTCTCATACCTCTGGATCAGATATTTTCGAGAGAGTATTAAAACACACCACTGTTGTGTAAATCAGAGCATTTATACAAGGCTATCAAGTAGGTTGCTGGCCAGCCTACAGATTGCTCACACTTAATTAGGGCTCCACCCTGGTTCTATCATCTTTGGCCAGAGTAGAATGGTCAAATGAATCAACATTGATATTTACAAAAGAAACCCCTTGGAAGAATATTTTGGGTGAGGCCGGCACTTGGAGATTAGGCCTGTCCGAGGCAGAATCACAAGGCCCATTATGATAATTGGGGTAGCTTTCCTTATATTTAAACTGGAAGAAGCCACAGCACCTCCAGATACCTCTGAACGTATCTTCAGTATCAGCAGCCACTTGAATGACCCACTTAGTTGTATTGACAACATAAGGCCACTTTTCAACGAACTTTCTGCATCAGTCAGCTGTGTTGCTTAGATTTCTGTTATTAGTTAGCTAAGTTATGCTGTAGTAACAATGGTCCCCACAATCTTAGTGGCTTACAAAGGGTTACTGCTCTCTCATGTGTGTACACTGTAATGGATTTTGGTTCTGCTCCACATTGTCTCTACCTTGGGACCCACGCTGGCTAAAAGGTCTCTGTCTCTGAAGGGTGACTACACATCTCAAGTTTATCCAACACAGTGCTAGTTGATGCCCATTGTTGCAGAGCAATTATTAATAAATAGCATATCTTTTCACTCTCAGTAGTGTAATCTCTTGTTTTTAAACATTCCTAGTTTAGACGATAAATCGTATGTCATCTTTTCTGTGAGACATCAATGATTTCATGGCAAAGAAGAAAGATATGGCAAAAACACAAACTGGCTGTTAAAAGTCTCTGCTCAGAAATGACTCGAATCACTTCTGCCCACATTTCATTGGCTAAACTAAGTCAAGTATGTACTTCTGAGTCCAGTGGAGTAAGAAAGGATAATTGCTCCACGGAGGGGCAGCAAATATTCTGAACCAAATACAACCTACTACACCGAATGAAAGCAAACTTAAAGAGAAAATAAAGTGATGTAAGTGGTTTGCCCAAAGTGTGTATGCAAAATAGGTGAAGAGGTAGAGTTAGAGACACTGTAATTCAGGGGCTTTATACAATGTTATTCAGTCTTGTCCAAGGCTCTCAATTTATTAAATGCAAAAAAAAACCCTGAATCCTAAGGAGGGGAAGTAACTTGCCCAAGGTTTTAAAAGTCCATGGACCTGCTAATATGGGAGTTTCAGAGTCTGATGGAAGGAAAAGAAGTTAAGTGATAGCGTAATCCTATATGTCTAAATATGAAGCAATCCCAAGTTACTCAATTTGCATGGCATTAAGATAGTTGTTAAAAATGGTGTGGTACACACACAGTAAATGAGAGAACGTCCAATAACATGAGAAACATCGTTAGAACTTGAACATAATGCAACATATGGGTTATTCTTTTATGAAAAATAATTTCAGAGAAAGTCCTCAGCTTATATTCAGACATGTATGGTATATGAGTCTTATCTCCTACTTGGCACTAGGTAACCTGATGACCTCCCTGTGCTTCAGGGCCCAGCTGCTGTGGTTCTCAACCCTGATGCCTGGTTGCCATCCCCAAAGATTCTGATCCAGTTTTTGGGAGAAGAGGTGTAGGGAATTAGTATTATGTAAAAAGCTCCCAGGTTATTCTAATTTATATCCAGGATTGAAAACCACTAATGTAGGATTTTTTATAGTAGCCCACGGACCATAATAAGAGACCTTATTTTTGGTCTAGTCACTCTTACAAGGAGATTCAAATGTCACTTAGATTTTAAGAATGGAATACTGTGTCACCCCAAATATGTATGTTGAATTCTTAACCCCCAATGTGATGGTATTTCAAGATGAGGACTTTAAGAAGTAATTAGGATTACACGAGGTTAGTAGGGTAGGATGTTCATGTTGAGACAATTGGCCTTATAAGGAGAAATATCAGAGAACTAGCACTCTCCTTTTTTTTTTTTTTTTTTTTTTTTTTTTGAGACAGGGTCTCACTCTATGGCTCAGACTAGAGTGCAGTTGTGTGATCTCGGCTCACTGCAACCTCCGCCTCCCAGGTTCAAGTGATTCGCCTGCCTCAGCCTCCCAAGGAACTGGGATTACAGGTGCGCACCACTACCACCCAGCTAATTTTTTTTATTTTTAGTAGTTACAGGGTTTCACCATGTCGGCCAGGTTGGTCTTGAACTCCTGACCTTAAATGATCCACCCGCCTCAGCCTCCCAAAGTGCTGGAATTACAGGTGTGAGCCACTGCGCCTGGCCCATTCTCCCTTTTTCCCTCCCTCTCTCTCCTCCCCTTCCCTTTTCCCTTTATCTCCCTCTCACCTTCTCTTTCAGTTCCCCTCCTTCGTTTAACTCTCTCTCCTTTCCACTCCTTTCATACACATATACAAAGAAGTCATATGACATCTGAGCACACAGTGAAATGGCAGCCACCTACAAGCCAAGAGAAGAGGCCTCAGAATAAAGCCTACCTTGCCAGCACTTTGATCTTGGACTTCCCAGCCTCCAGAACTGTGAGAAACATTTCTGTTGTTTTAAGCCACACAGTCCATGGTGTTTTATTATGGCAGTCTGAGTAGACTAATATGTCATTTTTCTTCAGAATGCCCTGGGTCCTATTTATCACTGCAAGCACCTCCACCCCTGAAAACACACACACACACACACACACACACACACACACACACACCCCTGGTTGGTTTCATTGGTGGTTTCATTTGTTTGCTTGTGATGCATTTTTATATTCTAGGTAACAATTTAACATATAAACTAGACATTTTTGAAATTAAGAGGGAATACTATTTCTTCCAAATAGAGAAAAGAGTCTTTGGTGTTTCTAGTTTGAAGATTCAATGTCTTTCTAATGAGTGCAAGGCTAGAGATTAAGATACATTTGGTGTAGTGCTGGTTCTGCTACACAACTGGCCATTGGACATTGGGTGGATCACTTTACCTCCCTGTATATCACTTTCTGTATTATAAAGGAGAGAATCAAATGGATGGTTTTATAAGGTTCCTTTTTCCAGTTTAGGAATCACACAACTATCCATAAGGCAGTAGTTCTAGCCCACTTTTTAAAATGAGTTAAGCTTTCTAAAAAAGCCAGGATCCAAGACTCTTCTCTCCAACTACAAACAAACCAGTTTAATTGGTCCAGGGCAGGTAGGGCCAGTTTATTGGTATTTTTAAAAAGCTATCCAGGGTATTCAAATGATCAGCCAATATTTAAAAGTATTGAGCTACTTTACAAGTTTCTGCCAATAAGGATACAGACTCAGGTGAAGTTATTTGTCCAAAATCACATAGCTTGTAAGCGACAAAGCCAGGATACAAACCCTGGTTGTCTAGCTTACATAACTACTTCCACTATAGATGGTACAGGAGCTCTTGGAGCTGCCTGAGGCTATTGAAACAGATTTTGCTGCTCATATTTGAAAGTTGACTTGACTGAGTAATCAGTCAGACTCACCTATCAGCTGCTATAGACAGAAGGGGATGAAACTGTGGTTATTGTAGAATGAAAGAAGGGACCATTCTTCCATTTATATCCAGTAGAATATACTGGTTCTCCATATCTGGCTGTTAAAAAGGAAACTATGATGCACAGAGACTAATTGTGGATTACAAATATGAATGCTTATAGATTGCTCTGACTTTCATTTCCACATAGAACTATTTTCTGGTATACTACTACATTGGCATTTTGATTAATGTTACATTTTTGGCTTGTTCTTCAGTTGTAGCAACACACAGATTTCTGTCTACATGTACTATTCACTGTCATCTGAACCTCCCACTCAATGTAGCTGATAATTACACATTCTGGAAGCTGCATGTCACAACCAATTAACTTGACAGGCTCCACTGATTTGGGTAAAAATGGAGGCTGTACAAATCTGTTTTGTGGTATCTCAGTATAGAGAAGCAATTAAGTGAAAGGAATACAATAACACAACACTGGCTTAAACCCAGGCACATGAGAAGTGATTAGAAAGATTTTGAGCTTTGGAGCCAAAGAGACTGAAGTTCAAATCCCAATTCTGCCACTTACTAGTTGAATGGTCTTGCTAAGTTACTTAGCCTTACTTACATTTTTAACTGTGTATCTACCAAAAAGTACCCCTAAAATATGTATTTTTATTAAATATTAGGTTGCTACACCAACCTAAATTACTTTTGCATTAACCTAATAAAATAATAATAAAAAAAAATAGGCCAGATGCAGTGGCTCACACCTGTAATCCCAGCACTACGCGAGGCCAAGGCAGGCAGATCACTTCCCGTCAAGAGTCTGAGACCATTCTGGCCAACATGGTGAAATCCTGTCTCTACTAAAAATACAAAAAAAAAAAAAAATTAGCCAGGCATGGTAGTGCACTCCTGTAGTCCCAGCTACTCGGGAGGCTGAGACATGAGAATCACTTGAACCCAGGAAGCAGAAGTTGCAGTGAGCTGAAATTGCACCACGGCACTCTAGCCTGGGTGAGAGAGTGAGACTCTGTCTCAAAAAATAAAACAAAATAAAATAAACATCATTATGTTCATCAGATCAGCTTCAGAAATAAAACTGACATGTAGTACTCCTGAAGTCCCAGGACTTTAACCATTTTCATATCCATTTTCTCCCCAATGATAACTCCATGCCTCTTTTAATTATCCCCTTCCTTTCCTCTGTAGTTCTTCTTTTCAGTTTCACCCACCTGTATCTGTATCCCTAAATATATTTATATGGTGATTACCTGTTTGGAACTTTAGGATCATGTTGTGTACCTGTCTTCTGTGCCTTACTCTATTTGTTTTTCATTGTGTCTACAATCAGTTAACACTGATGTATGTAGTTAGAGATCATTAGTTTTCAATACTATATAGTATTTCACTGATTGACTATACAACATAGCAGCCTCATTCTATGAACAATGACCGTTTAAGATGCTTAGTATTATAAGTAATGTTAAGAGAAGCGTTTCTGCAAAATTTCTCTCAGTATAAAGTTGTCAATTTCTCTAAAGCAGGGGTCAGCAAAATATAGTCCAAGGCCCAAATGCAGCTTGCCATCAGTTTTTGTAAATAAAGTTTTATTGGAAAACAGCCATCCATGTACATATTATCTATGGCAGCTTTCATACTACAATAACACAAGATCCCTCCTGTCCTCCTAAATGGCTCCTCCTTTCCTCAGTCCTCAACACAAAAATTCTGCATCCTTCCACTAAAAAAGCTCCAGTATTCTCTTTTTAAAAAAAAACAAAACATTAATTTATAATTAAAGAAACAGCCTAAATTGTCAGCAACTGCTATAACATGGTTTTCTTTTCCTGAAGGCAAGAAATTTGAATTTCAATACAAGCAAAGGTAAACAAAGATCACTGTGTTCAGTCCTAGTGGTAACAGCTTCTTTCTGTCTAGCAGGAACAAAAGTAAAGAATACTGTTTGGAATAAAAGAGGGACTCCCTGATGGCTTTTCACCTCCTCTTCCTGTCCTTCAAACTTGGTCTTCCTTGGAGGTGGTCCTTTGTGGTTTTTTTGTTTTTTTTTTTTTGAGATGGAGTTTTGCTCTTGTTGCCCAGGCTGGAGTGCAATGGCACAATCTCAGCTCACTGCAACCTCCGCCTTCCCAGGTTCAAGCAATTCTTCTGCCTCAGCCTCCCACACAGCTGGGATCACAGGCATGCGCCAACACAC